AGCCTCTTTTTATGGGCTTTGGTGCCTTCTTCTACTCTGGCTGGTGGTGAGAATAGATGGGGAAAGCCACCTGCCAGAAACTGAGTGTTGCAAAATGTGGTAATACTAGCATCATGCTTCATCTTGACATCATCCTTGAGAAATTCTCACAGGTCTACCTCATTTATTTATTTGTCTTAATTTTTCCAAATTTACTTTTTTCTTCTCCTTCCCTGTAAGAAAAGTGATAGTCTTTGAATTAGTGTTTTTCAGTGTTTCATCCTCTTCCCCTAGTCTGGAAAACTATTACTGTCTGAAAAAGAAATAAAATCTAGGTCCAGCAGGTGGCGTGGTGGTTAAGGCACTGAATTCCCACATGGTCAACTGAGGTTTGAGTCTTGCGCTTGGTAGCTTGAAAAATCATGTGTGTATACACGCCCTCGAAATCCTGAGAGGAGCATGGAGGAGGAGAAGAGATCATGGTGTGGCCATCTCACCAGGAAGTGCTTTCTCACTTTTCCTTTCTCTGTCTCTCTCCAGTGAATGCATGTGCTCTATGACAAAAACAAAAACAAAAACAAAAAACTTACTATTTGAGGTTCAAATGAATCGCCACAGCTTAGCATCAGGCATCAATTCATCATATGCATATAGGTAAACTAAGACTCATATATTTTTACTTAAAATATATGGAAGAGTCTCTCCCCAAATTAAAGATCACCCAGATGAAGCAGCTGTCACCTGACGATTTGTCTGTGATGACTTTGGCACACCCTCCTCTTCTTTCTAAACAGGTATATTCAAGTATAATTTGCACACTGTAATTTTTACCCACTGTAAGTGTGCAATTGAATTGTGTAAATTTGTGGAGTTATACGACCATCAATAGAGAACATTTTTGTCACTCCATAAAGACACCATGGGCCCATTTGCAGTTACACTCCAGTCCTACTCCTAGACCTAGGCAACCACAGATGTGCTCTCTGTCCCTATGGGCTTACCTTTACTAGAGATTCCATATAAACAGAATCATACAATATATAGTATTTGCATGTGACTTCTTTCATTTAGTATAATGTTTCTGAGGTCCTTCATCTTTTTTGTCAACATGTATTAGTTATTCATTCCTTTTAATTGCTAACTAATATTTCATTATATATGCATATTGCAATTTATCTATTCACCAGCTGATAGACATTTGGATTATTTCTAGTTTGAGGCTATTATGAGTAATTCTGCAGTGAATACTTATGTAAATGTCTTTGTGTGGCCATGTTTTTATTTCTCATGGATAGATTCATAGGAGTGAAATTTTTGAGCTGAATGGTAAGTTTGTTTAGGTTTTTAAAGAAACTTTCAGCTCTTTTCTACAGTGGCTTCCTCATTGTACATTCCTACCAGCATAGAATGAGGGTTCCAATTTCACCAGATCCTTGCTAACACTTACAATGTCTATCTTTTTATTTTAGCCATTCTAGTGGGTATTTAGTGGTATTTCAGTGTGGTTTCAACTTCCTAACAACTAATGATGTTGAGCATCTTTTCATGTATGCGTTACCTATCCACATAGCTTCTTTGGTGATGCCTACTAAAACATTTTGCCCATTTTAAAAAGTAAGGTTGTCATGTTGAGTTTTAAGGTTCAACTTATTTTTAATTTAAAAACTTTGATAGGATTTAAATTTTATAAACCCAATCTTAAAAGTAAGTAGTTGATAAGATGACTAGCACTTATGGAATTATATATCCCCTTCAGCAGGCCTTTTAAGATTTTTACACTTACATAGTGTCCTCAGGCTCAGTAGGCAGGTATTCTTTATTTTAAAAAGAGAATATTGCTGCCCAGAAAAATAAAGTGAGGGGTTGAGGTTACCCAACTTATTGGATAGAAAGCAGGGATCATAGTGACAACATTTGAGACTGGGAGGGCAGGGCACATGTGGAAACTTTACTCTCTACCAGGGCCAGTGTGGGGCCTGGTGTTGCTCCAGGGCTTGCCTGGAAGCTGAACTGATGTGGACGTTGGACCCAGGCCTTGGACCTATGTTTGGCAGAAGAGGTGTGCTTATTGCTGGTTCAGAAGCCAGGTGCCCAGGTGCCCGGAGGTGATGGTTAGAGGGACCTGTTGGCTTTGGCTTGGCTTTTCAGCCTTTGGGCATGCTGAATTTCACAGGTGGCTCCTGGCAGCGGGACACTTTGTTTTTTTCTCACTTCATAAAGATTTCCATCGAGGGCCTCCCTCATGGCAGAGCAGCTGTCTCTCTTCACCCTCGGTGACCCTGCCCTGCGGAAGATGCACTCCCTGCATGTGGCTTCATGCTCTGTGGGCTTCTGTGCCCATGTCTGCAGTCTGTGGAAGACCTTGACCTGCAGAAGTGCGAGTTTTCCCAAGAGACTGGAAACCCTCCTGGCCCTCCTTGAGCATAGACCTTCTCTTCTGATGGCCCGACCAGCTGAGCAGTCCTGGATTCTCAAGATGATGGGAAAAATAAATAGAATGTTTTCAGTTATGTTGCTCCAGAGAGAGAGAGAGAGAGAGAGAGAGAGAGAGAGAGAGAACACTCTTGAAATGTGGGAGGATTTTAATGTCTATGCTGAATATTAGAATATCACATAAACTGTTTTGCACTTGAGTTCTTACCATTGTCCCTCTTAGATTCTTTGATTCCTAACTCTCCTTTTGTTAGCCCGTAAGACTTCTGAAATGAAGCCACCACGTCCGAAGGGCTGAGCCCAGTGCGCTGGGGCTATTTAGACTATGAACTCTGTATCCGGCAGGAGCAACCAAATGTGCATCGCAGCTGCCAAAAGACTCCATTCAGTGGCTCATTGAATTCAATGGAAAGAGGTGTTAATAGAGTCAGGGGAAGTGATGCTATTTAAAAAATGACATTGTGTGGTTCTGTTCTGTGTTTATTCTTCCTCATTGACTTCCAGATCAAACTCACACGGCTTGGCATCAAAAGATGCATTTTGGACTCCAGTTTGAGGCAATTAAGATGTCCGGCACAGTTACTCCTTTCTTCCTGCTCCATCTCATTCCTTGGGATGAATGTCAGGTAGTTCAGGATGGCTTTGGCCCTGCAGGAGTTGGCTGGGCCTTGAGACCAGCACCAAAGAGTAATACCAGAGTCAGGTGTCACACACCGTCAGGGGCTGGCCCCAGTCTCCAGGAAGAGCTAGGAACTCCATGCATCTCCAGTCTTAGGATCCCAAGGGTGGGGTGTTGATGCAGAAAACGGTTCAGGATTCTGTATTCTCTCTCCCTCCCCTGCTAAGATGCAGGGAAACCAGCCAAAGACGCTGGGAGCTCCGAGTGGTAGAGGGTTGTTATTGACTATCTGACTGGCGTCACAGAGACTATCTGAGAACTTGCATTCTCCATGAATAGTTAATGATCAGAGAATAGAGTGTTCAGCTCTAAAAGACTTCTGGGGGGTCTTGGGAAGAGAAATATGGTGTAATCCTTAAACTGCCTGAGACAACAGTATTCTCCCTCCCTCCCTCTACTGAGCAAGAAAGCAGATAAATCTCTAAATTATGTATCCTCAAGAGGGACCAAGATAGCTATCTGCTTCCAACATTTAGAAATGAAAATTGGTTCTTAAGGGAGGGAGTGAAAAAAAATCTTACTCTTTTTACATATAAAGTGCACACACACACACACACACACACACACACACACAGAATACATGAAAACATACACAGGGTATCATCGTTATTAAAATTTTATTAGGAAGGAGATTAGGAAAAATTGTCTAAAAATGCTTCTTAGAAGGGCAGTAATGAAAAAACAGTTGCAAAACTCTGCCCTAAGCTGTTTTGGGGGCCTTGATAAAAATAATTTGGAGGCCTGGAAGGTAAATAAACAGCCTGCTCTAACTCCTGACCTGCAGAGGTTGTTGCTGTGCAGAGAGCTGTCCACACTATTAGAATGATAAGCGCTAGGACTTTGGAACTCAGAGCTCCCTGCTCCTCATCCATGTCAGAAATTTCAAAGCAAGTCTACCGTGCTTTCTGCAGCTTCCCACATTTCCAGTTTTGTTTGCCCCTGTCTCTTATTGGGAATTGGGATGTGTGCTGTTTCACAGTTAAAAATGTTCTGAGGATTCCTCATCTTCGCAGTGCAACATGCTGGAGAAAAAACCACGATCCTTCCTACCTTACTATCTTTTTTTAGGTAAGGCTGGAGAAACACCTAAGAATGTGGAAGGGAACAATGCCCAGGTCTCTTGTTTTTCTTTACCCTTTCAGTCAGGGCCACTAGAAACTGGTTCTGAGCTGGTTCCTTTCACAAAAGGGCAGGAAAGGAACTGGGAACATTAGAATTTGGTGCCATAAGGAACAAGCCTGCTCAAAGCTGAGGGCTGCTAGGAGAAGAACCGCCTCTCAGCTTTCCTGCGGGGCTTAACGGGGATCCTGAAATCTTCAAATTGATTAGAACGAGTTCTCTCTCTCCCCTTTATTTATTTATTTATTTATTTATTTATTTATTTATTTATTTATTTATTTATTTTACTATAGGGGATGTGCGCTCGCCAGGCAGACAGAGAGAGAGATAGAAAGTGAGAAATCACCCCCTAGAAGGGATGGCCACGCCGCAGTCCCTTCTCCTCCATTCTCCTCTTGGGATCTTGGGCACGCACGCACATGCACCCAGCATGAGTTTAAGCCTCCGGGTCCGGGACTCAAACCACGGTCGACTATGTGGGAATCCAGCAACATAGCCATTACACTAACTGCTGGTCCCTTAGAACGAGTTCTCTAAAGGCACGAAATCTCCGCTTGTCCGTCCCCTGGGATGGTGAGCACACACTCGGATTAGTTTTAGTGTTGATGTCTCTCTGTGGTTTTTCTTTCCTGCTTGTTCTTTTTTTCTTTCTCTTCTTTTCCTCCGACCTCTTCATTGGGACTTGGCCGGGCCATGTACAACCCCCAACCATTCAACAGTGCTGGAGAGTAGATAGTATTTACCTCAATAATGGTAGTCTCTTTTCGATTCTTTTTAACCCTCAATTCAGATGATGGTTCTAAGCCCACGCCCACGATGGAGACTCAGCCGGTGTTTGATGGAGATGGTAAGCTCTTGGTGTTACTTCTGACACTCCTTTTCCCGTCCATTTGGGAATGGTCTTCATGATGTTTGTTTGTTTAAGCTTATTATTATGATTTTCTTATTTTATTTCAATTTTTCCCAGTGTAAGCTGGGTTGTTTTAACCTTTGAAAGAATGTAAATCCTCCAAGGAACTGGTATATTCTCCACTTCGGGAAAGGCCATCTGTTCTGTCCAGGCTTCCTGCCTGTCTCCTGATGTCCAACAATAACACGGCCTGGACAGACCCTTTGAGCTGCCAAGATCGAAGAATCATGGCCGAGGAAGATAGTGAGGTTGGCAGTGTCCTTTCAGTGAAGTAATCAGCACTTACGTGCCTGCTCTGTGCCTTGCGTTGTGTGAGGTCCTTGAGGAATGAAAGGAGAGTGTGCAGCTGGAAGTCTTTGTTCTTAAGACCCCTCTAACTATTAGACTTTATGTCTTAAATTGCACCTGCTTGATTTCTATTGTAAATAGACATTCATGGAAGAAAGAGATCACAGCAGTCTGGGCAAGCTTCTGCAGAGATGTGACTTGAGCTGCATCTTGAAAGTAGATTGGAGAAATCAGGGTCTTCTAGGCAGCTAGCCTGGCCTGAACCAGGAAGAGATGGATACAGTGGGGAAAGTATCAGGGAATGGATTGGTGATGAGGCTAGTTTGACCAGCTTAGAGGGACTTGAGGAGTTGAGTCAAGGCATTTAGGAGAGGAGATATTCTGAGTCAAAAGAAACAGTAGTGGCTGATGGCAAAATACAGGCTGAAGTCCCCAGAGGTATGAGATGTGGATGGAAGGGGCCTGGAGTACAGAAGCTGGCCTCAATGCAAGATGGAGTTGCTCAGGGCCTATATTCTTTAGCGTTCTTTACTGAGTACTCCCGATTCTCCTGGGAGGAGCAGGAAGTTTGTTGAGTGAGGTTTCTAGAAAGCTGACAATGAGGTGCAATAGGTAACAAGCTTTTAGCAACTCTCAGCTGTGTATCCAGGCCTGGATTTTAAAACCCAATCGGTGACACAGAGGAATAATAAGAAATTATGCCACTGCCTAGCCCTGTGGGTAGGGAATGTTCCTAGCATGGGAACAGCTCTGGGAAGAAGAATTAAAATGTGAGATGCTCTTTGCAACTGTTTCATTTAGTGGAATATATGTATGTTCATGCCTGAATCTTTTAATGTTCCTGTGATCCACAAAGATTCTGGATCATTGGCAAGTCTAGGGTCTAGTGGAGAATGGAGAGCCTGTCATCTTGGGAGACTTCTCCCTACCATTCCTGAAGATCTCGTCACTATACACTATGTTCAGGCCCCCACAGGATTCCCACCTACCTGTCTACTGGGTGACACAGTCTGGGAGAGCCTGGGGGCATCCTGGAGCTCTCTGGATGGAGGAGTTTAGCCTCTATTCAGTGAGAAGCCCTTAGAACGAGTGTTACGGTTCCCATGAGACCTCTTACATTTGTCCCCATATGGAGCAGAGTCTCAGTTGAATCTGTGTGGCCTAGCCATTTCCTCCAAAATGGTCTCTGTGGTTTGTTTGGCATTCATTTGTTGATTTATTCCCTTTAAATCTTCTTCCAGGGAAGCAGCTGAGAGGGACTTGGCTTGGTCTGGTTTCCTCATCTCCTGGATAATATTTTTATTCCTGGATGGAGTGGCTCAGTGCCTCTGGACCCTGACCACTCTGCCTCCTGGCACAGGATGCCCTGGTTGGCTCTTATGAGCTGGTGGGGAGAGGAGCTTCCGTTGTGAGGAAGGGAGAAGGCATTAAAAATGAGGGAGATAGCTGAAGTGTCGATGCCTCAGGATTTTTTTTTTTTAAGAGAGTTTTTGTTGTTGTTATAGGGCACGTGCACTCATCAGAGAGACAGAGAGACAGAAAGTGAGAAATCGCCCCTCAAGGCAGGGATGGCCACACTACAATCCCTCCTCCTCCATTCTCCTCTCAGACCTTGGACATGGACACACTCGCATCTGGCAAGGGTCTCAAGTTGCTGGGTCCAGGACTCAAACCACGGTTGACCATGTGATAGTCCAGCGATGTAACCGCTGCACTATCTGTTGGTCCCAATACCTCAGATTTTTTAAATAAGCTATTTAGTAGCCTGGGGTTACACTGCAAGTCATGTACTTTCTTTGCTTAGAACTTTTCTTTTTTTCCTCCCCAGAAATCACAGCTCCTACTCTATGGATTAAGCACTTGGTAATCAAGGACTCCAAACTGAACAACACCAGTGTGAGAAATTCAGGTAAATAATCTTCCTTGGATTATGAATGTTCTAAATTTGTCCCTCGGTTGCGCCATGACTATATACTGTGTGGTCTTGGACCAGTCATTTAATTTGCTGGGTCTTTAATTTCTACAGCTATAAAATAAGGAGATTAGATGGGCAAATCCCATCCAAGTTCAATTTTCTTAAATTATTACCCCGGGATCATCTTTCAGGAATAGGCTTTTTAGCTAAAATTCTTTGACAATTTATTTTCATTGACTTTTATATACCATGCAGAAGAATTTGGAAAAATATCTGAATGTAAAGAAGTTGAACTTCAAGCCTGGAGATATTTGGTTCCATGTGTTTTTAAGGTTTTAAATCAATGCTTACAGTCATGTCTTTTCTGATCTCATCTTTTGGGGGTCTTATGAGTGGTCATGCATTAGTGCTGGTTGAATCTTTTTGCAGAAATTTTTGAAGAGTGATTGGCAGTATTTGTTGGTAGAGTGTATTTACCATCAATGAAGACCAAAGTGAATAAAGTTCATTTGCCATCAATAATGACTTAAAGTCTATCAATAGGAAAATGTATTAATGAATCAAATCTATATCTCTGTAAGGAAGGACCATCCTTCTTTCAACCTGAGACTTCATTCTGAGAAGTACTGCTCTGTGTTATTTATGTCTGGTGGTTGAGTTAGCCATATCATCTTCTTCTTGTACTAGTAAGGATTGCAAACAAAAGATACATGCCTTTGAACTGGCAGGTGAGTTTTACATGACTGTAAATTTGTGTGTGCTGTCCCTGATCCTCTCTAGGTTGTGCCACCTCTGTCCTACAGGTTACAGTGGGTGGGGGTGGGTGGGTGCTGCAGTGCAAGGAGCGCTTGAGGCCGTCTGGCATTGGTCAATTCTCTCCGTGACCTGGGCTGGTCAGTTACCATGTGTCTGGCTTACTGTTTGATCAAAGCTCAGATTTGGGAGGGTGGGGTGGAAGGAGATTGTATGAATTCCCTTGAATCCAAGTCTTTGACAACATAGCACTGTGGTTAAAGCACAGGCTTTGCAATCAGGGAAATCTGTGTTTACATTCTGGCTCCAACACATAATGGCTGTACTTGTTGTGCCTAACTCGGTCAAGTCAAATAATATCCCTGGGCCTTAGTTCTTATCTGTAAAATGGGATTATGATCTTTTCCTGAAAATATTATAGTTATAGGTTAACTAAGTTAATATCTAGATGGTGCTTAACTGATGCCTTAACTAAGTGATAAATACTAGGTGCATAATAAATTGTAGGAACATGCATTTATCATCATCATCATTATTGGTAGGGATGATGGGAATATAAATGAGAGTGCTTCTCATGAGTATTCTTCAATTAGGAAAGAATTAATGATTATCAACCCTAAGCAAAGACATCTATTAGACAGGCTTTTTCTTAGTGCCCTCCCACCCACCCCTGTTAGGCAAATGTGATAAGGCAAAGAGAAGTGGGACTTGTAGTATTTAGTGCTAAAAGTAACATTTGCAAGGGTCTCCTTAATCCCTGAGAAGGGACTAAATTCCTCAAGACTCCAGCGAGAGGGTTCATTGTCACTGTGTGCCCAAGAGATAGATATGAGAGCGAGCTCTCTCACTCACATGGCGCCATGCCTCAAATGCTCATTTGATAGCCATTGCTTCCATGAATTTCTTTTTCCTCTACCAGTGGTTAATTTCTCTACCTAGGTTATAAACTTGTCAAACACAAGGCTTTACTGTCTACCTGTTCTGTCCGTTATAGACTCAGCTCGGTATGTTTGATTGTTTAGCGGAAGGATGGAAGGGAAGAAATCTTCATCATGGTCAGTCATCTTAAAACAGCACTGTCACATAGCTGGTCTGTGTCAGGTTCTGTAGACTTTATGCTTGTCTCATTGGAGCTTCAACAGAGCCCCATGAGGTAACTATTGTATTGTCCCCATCTTACAGATGGAGAGGCAGAGCTGACAAAGAGTCTGGGGTCATAGCTAATAGGTGGGTGGGCTGCTATTGGTATCCTTGGAATAGAGTGCCTGCCTTTTTGGGCTGTATTCTCTAAGTGCAGTAAAATGTGTTAAGTCAATTGATAATCTTTGCTTCCTTTCGAGTTCTTCTGTTTCCCATTCCTACTTTCCTTATATTATTTTCAATTGGATGAATATAGGGTCATATTGAGAAATGGTTTCCAGGCAGGTACAACCACCTTCCTTTTGTTGGAGTGATTCTAGCTACCTTTACTGTCCTCTGGGCAGCCCCACTTATGTCTGTAAGATTAGGACAGGATTGGGACCAGCAGGTGGCATAATGGCTATGTCCCTGGACTCCCATGTAGTCAACTGTGGTTTGAGTCCCAGATCCGGTAGCTTAAAACTCATGCCAGGCCCACATGCATGCATGCCCAAAATCTCAAGAGGAGACTGGAGGGAGAAGGGATTGTGGCATGGCCATCCTCCCTGGGAGGTAATTTCTTGCTTCCTGCCTCTGTCTGTCTGTCTCTCCAGTGAGTACATGTACCCTATAGCAAAAAATCACTTAAAAAATAAGTATATCAAAAAGACAGGATAGCTGGGGAGAACTAGTGGTTCTCTGCAGGAAACTGAAATCAGAATAATTATTTGGGATCTGTATCTTAGAAAACTTCTAGTAAACTGGGATATTTTCCACTGTGATCAATTAGTAAGACTGACTGTATACCAATTGTTTTGACGTAATTATGTTCAAAAGACATGGTACCATAAAGACATGTAGCAGGGGTTGCAATGGGCCACCTAACTGTTTTTACAAATAAAATTTTATTGGGACACAAGCACACTCATTTATGTGTATTGCCATTGGCTTTTTTTGTCTTTTAAAGTAGCTTTGAGCAGTTGCAGCAAAGCCTATAGGGCCTGCAATGCCTAAAATATGTACTATGTGACCCTTTACAGAAAAAGTTTGCTGGCCCCTGGCATATGCAATTGAAATAGATACATTTGTTTGGGACTGTGTGTACTAAAAAATTTTGGCCCCTCTTGTAGATCAAGCAGAAAAAGGGTCTGTGGTTCTTGAGCTATTTCCTGACATGCCCAGGTATGCTTGCATCACCACAGGGACCCTTGGGACAGCTCAGATCTTTTTCAAGCTTTTACATCCTGCTCTGGTGTGTGCTCCCATGTGGGTTGCCATATGAGAGTTTGGTTTTCGTAAGTGGGGAGTACAGAATCTTTTGTGTGTGGTAGAGAGAAATCTTTTAATAGAATGAAAAATTCATGAGCTCCCGGGAATCAGCAGTTAGCGTAATGGCTATGTCGCTGGACTCCCACGTAGTCGACCACGGTTCGCGTCCCGGACCCGGTGGCTTAAAACTCACGCCGGGCGCATGTGCGTGCGTGCCCAAGATCCCGAGAGGAGAATGGAGGAGAAGGGATTGCGGCGTGACCATCACCCCTGGAGGGGTGATTTCTCGCTTTCTGTCTCTAATGTCTCTCTCTGTCTGTCTGGCGAGCGCACGTGCCCTATAGCGAAAATCTCTGAAAAAAAAAAAAAAATCATGAACTCTGGCATGAGAGAAGCCTGTAGACCTGACTTCCAATACTTTCCCCAACAGGCTTGGAAAGCTTGGGAAAGTGACATAACTTCTCTAAATCTCAAATTCCTTAAATGTAAAATAAAATTATTAGTGCCTTGCAGGACTTTTGTGAGGATTGGATAGCATATATACAAGGAACCTTCAGAAGGTTTATTGATAATGTGTATTCAGTGCAGGTGGCATGGTGGTTAAGGGTGCTGCCATTAACCACATGTCAATGGCATGATCACAGTTCAAGTCCCAGACCTGGTGGCTTGCTTTCTCACTTTCTCTCTCTCTCTCTTGCTTTGTCCTTCTCTGGTCAAATTAAAATAAATAAATAAAGTTAAAAAAATAATTCTTTAAAAAGAAAGAAAAATGTGTATTCTGAAAAAACTATGCATAGATTTCAGAATTTTGCTTTGTTTTACCAAAATAAACTTGCACTTCAATTCCATTTTTTTAAATAAACTTTTTGGAATCCCCTCTTATAATGCCTGGCACATGGTAGGAGCATCGTAAATGATTAAAGTCAAAACAAAACAATGGCTCCTTTTGAAGGAATATATTTACATACAGTGCTAGCCACTTTCATATGTTATCACATTTAGTTTAATGAAAAGTCAGATATACTCTAACAATAACTCACTTCTGGGCAGCTGGCTCTGGTAAGGTGGGGAGCTTCTAAGCCTGACACCTGCATTTGTTTTCCACTGAAGTTTGATGGAGGATTCTGGGTTCAGGGAGTTTGGGCCTGCATTCACTGGGGACTCTGCAAAGCCTGTCTGGGTGAGGGTTTGTCTCAGCAGTCTCTTCGGGGCACAAAGGCTATCCCAGTTTCTTTCACACCCTACACATCCTTTTTTCACACTCAGACCCTGTGACGCCAGGTTTGTTTTCTGGCCTGGGGACTGTTGATGTTGGAAAAATTCCACTGGGCAGCTGAAGTTTTGCAATAACATGACACATAGGCCTGCAGACTTATCCAGTCTCTTTCTCTCCTCCTAGAGTTTTGGTCCTTGTTTTTAAGGCTTTGTTACATGTTCATTATGGTCACTGATACTTTTTGGGTACTTGGCAGATTTACTTTGACAGATATACCTCTTTGGTCTTTTCCTTGATACTTCCTCCCATTGCTTTTCTCCTCCTTTGCATCCGGGAAGACAATGTACCAGCCAACACCATAGAACTCGAGAGCAGCATCTTCTTACAGATGAGTGTTGGCCAGAGTCTCTGTTCTGTTTTTTAAGAAAATAGGAACTCTTGCTGTTATTGTTATTATTATTATTATTTAATCAGGGATTAGTTATCAAGTATTTATTTATGTTTATTTAAATTTAATCTTTGCAACTTTGCAGCACGGTTTTTCCCAGCATGCATGTAATGTATGGCAATCAAGTCAAATATATTACCATATACATTAACAGATAACTTTCCATTCTTGTGCCTGTTAATTTTTTTT